ATCTCCTCTGACCCCTGAATTCAACAAGGCGTTTTCACTGAGAGAGTTGTTTCTCTGTAAACCTTAGAGGGGGCTGTGTGGGGGAAATCCCTGCAGATTTGAATCCTCTGAATGACTCAGATCAGCCCGTCTGGCATCAACAACCACGCCGCGTGAACCGAAATCACCTTTCTTTATTCTGATGTTAATTTTAAATTTCAGCAGATTTTCTCAACCATCAGACTTCCTAAATGCACTGAGTTGCTGTCATGTGATTGGTCGATCAGACAACAGGTATACAAGATTTTTTAACCTGTAATTTGCAGCACTCATGACAAGTAGATTGTGTCGGCTATAATAACCAATAGAAGCAAACCAACATGCTCATGAACGTATTTCATGAAGGTTAAACTTGTTGCTGGAAATACTAAAAATGAAGTATTTCTCTTTGTTATACTTGAGTCTGTGGATAACTTATAACCTGCGTCACATTTCCAAGGCTGCTTTAAAAAAAAATATGTACTATTAAATAACTCTAGCCTATTAATGGTGCAGTGCTGCAGCATGAGACGCATTCTTTGTTGTTCATGGTCTGTCGGTAATACTTGATGTTCCCTTTCTTACATCAGTCCTGCTTTAAATAGCTTCAGCAGCCAAACACCGTAGTCCTGGTGATTCCCCTTTGTTCTGTTGCTTAGAGACCGATCTGGAGATGGGACGTGAGAAAGGGGGAGAAACAGGAAGGGAGCGAGAAAAAGGTTAAGTTATAGATGGTTGGATCGAAGACGAGGAAGAGTGAGCATGAGAGAGAACCACACGAGTTCTTTATGGTAACAAACAGAGAAAGAAAGTTACAAAGTTCCTGCTGATTGATTTGTTTTTGAGTCGCGGAAACGAACGTTTTTAAATGTGACATTTGAAAAGGTCGAGATGAAGAAGAAAAACAGAAGAAGTGATGAAATTCATCTTTAATGATCTCAGTGATGAATTTGCATTAGTGCAGCAGCAGGAGAGCGCGAGATTCATCACGGGGGGGAAACAATCACGCAACGAGAACACAATGTGAGCGAGAGGAAACTTTCCAACAGTCGCATGCAAATGCACATCTGACATTAGCAGTTAATCGGCTGTTACCGCCAAACTTCTGAAATAGACACATGACTATAATGGAGATTGTTTAACAGTCAGCATCATGCACCAAAACATCTTGGGTTTGGATCCTGTGTGTGTGGACTGCATGCCCTCTTCAGGTACACCGGCTTCCTCCCACAGCCCAAAGAGGTGCAGTTAGCGGGCTCAGGTGTGAATGATCCTCTGTCTCTCTGTGTTAGCCCGACAGCAGACTGGCAACCTGTCCAGGTGTACCCACCTCCCCCTCTACCCTGGACTGGATAAAGTGGAAGAAAACGGACAGATGGATTATTTGAGAGTTAACTTACAGCCCTGATATGCAGATTAAAAGCAGACTTTGAAATCCTGCTATGACAACATGTTAAAATGTTGAAATTTAAAGAAATAAGTGTTAAAATATATTCGCATGTTTAAAGAAATGTGAAACAGAACACTGGAAAAATTGCATAATGCTTAAAACACACACAGGAAACATCTAACAGTAATAACATGATTGGCTCTGTCAGTCTGTGTGTGTGTCAAGAGATTTATTCTAAAGACACTTCTTCAGCTAAGAATCTAAAGGTAGAAACGAGGGATGCACCGATACCACTTTTTTGGAAACGAGTACGAGTACTTGCATTTCAGTACTCGCCGATACCGAGTACT